GATATATTAAAGTACGATTGTAACGTCATTCTGAGATATGATACTTTATGCATGAAAAACTTAAATTAGATCCTTATTGTACATTGAACGTGTTTGAAGCTTTTAATACTTGCCGCTATTTCTTTTACTAGAGCACACGTGACAAACTTTTTGGTCGGTTTGTCAAACGTCGGAACAAACTCGACCTCTGATTGGACTCTAAATTTTCACATAAGCTCAAGTGTTGTTCCTAGCTCACACATGTTTCTCAAATATATTAAGATACATATCTGTGTTTGTCCAAAAAATAAAATAAAAAGAAGATACATCTGTAACGTCATTTTGATATATGACATGTTTTACTCATGAAAAACTTAAATTAAATCCTTATATTACTTTAAACATGATCAAAACTTGTTGGCTGAGCTTACTCCGGTGCCTTATTTTTTTCATTTATCTTGTTCCCACCTATATTCCAAAATTGACAAATGATATCCTTGGCGCTATTTCTTTGGCTAGGGCACATGTCGTAGGTATGAGGGGATTAATCCACAAGACAAATGATTCATTTACCTATTCAAAGTAATTTACGTGAAGGATGGTACACTCTCTAATAGATTTGATGAAGGCTGTTTACTTTCACTAGGTCGCTTGGTATCTTGAAACTTCTTTGCTTTCGGGGATAAGAGTGGAAAAGTCTGAGAGAGTCTCGAAGACGAACTTTTTGGTTAGCTTGTCAAATGCCATAACAAAATCGACTTTTGTTTGGACTTCGTTTTTTCCACATAAGCGATAAGCTCGATACAAGTGTTGTTTCCTTAAGCTCGCATATGTTCCATAGTTCAGATAGATAAAGATACATCTATAACGTTATTTTAAGATATGATACGTTTCACTCATTAACAACTTAAATTAACCCCTTATATTACTTTTTTCAAAACTTTTTGGCTGACGTCACATTGGTGCTTTATTTCTCAATCTATCATTTTGCCAACCATATTCCAAAATTGGAAAATGATATACTTGCCGTTATTTCTTTGGCTAGGGGTCGGTTTGTCCAACGTCAGAACAAACTCGACTTTTGTTTTAGACTTTGTTTTTTCCACAGATCGATACGAGTGTCATTTCCTTAAGCTCGCACATAATCGGTAATTCAATCATATTAAGGTACATCTGTAACATTATTTGAAGATATAATTCACTTCACACCTCACAGTGGTGCTTTATTAGTCAATTTATCCTTTTGCTACCTATATTCCACATTTGGAAAATGATGCTATTTCTTCATCCAGGGCCCACGTGGCAAACTTTCTGGTTGATTTATGAAATTTCTAGAACAAACTCGACATCTGGACTATGGTTTTCCACTTATGCCACAAGCTATAAGTGTTATTTCCCCCTTAATTTTGGGCGACAAACCCTAAACTATTTGGGCTCCTAGGTTTTCTCATGGCATTACTTCATGTACAGAACTTAGCCCATATTTTCAATATAGTTTCACGCGCTTTTCACCGACCTAATTTGGCTCTTGTGCTAGAGACCCAAATAACTCCACAAAAGAGAGAAATTTTTAGTTGTCATGGAAATATAGATGATACATTACGTGTTTTTATGTAAGTGATGGAAAATTTTAATTTTTAAGTTATAAACATTTTAACACACATAACCTATCATTTATATAAGGACACATGGTGTATCACCTCGTGTGACGGTCATACTGAAAAATCTCTCACAAAACATGGTCTTAAGTTGGTCCACGTGTCAGCACTAAAAAGAGAAAAGCACTTCAAACTGGCGACACGTAGACGGCACGCCCTGCTTAGCTGTCCGTACAGCAACCACAAATCCAATTAAAAGGGCACTAACCCTAAACTAGTAAGAAGTAGCGTCTTCCAGAATAAGATTTGCCAAAGACATTACTGTACTTCCACAGCAAGCCGTTAAAAAATAATACCCTTTATAAACCCTCTCTTTTCCCTCTCCATTTTATGGTGGTGAATATGACGATGGAAGTTGAAGCGGAAGTTGATTACGAGAAGGGATGCTGTACCCCGAAACGCAGCGAGTTTCGGATTCCGGAGGCGGTGGCGCCTCCTCCTGCGCCAAAGAAGAAGGCGTTTTGGGTTGGGAAGAAGAACAAGAAGCCGCCGCAGCCGCCAAAGAACGGGTATTTTAACCCGCCTGATCTCGAACTACTGTTTGCAGTGATTCCAGTACAGCAAGCTTGGGATTAAACTAGTTTAGTGTCTTAGGGTTATTTAGGTTTCTTCCTTAGCTTGCAGGTATTTTGGGCTGGTGAAGTAGATATTATCTGCGAATATGAATGTAACATAGCTAGTGGTTTTTTGGGTTTGTTCTTCTTTTTCTTGTACACTTAAAACTACTGGGACGAAAGGGCTTTTGGTTTTGGAATGTCATGTATTGAAGTGAATATATCGCATATCATATATGTGGAGTTTGACGGTAAAATTTTAAAGCGTTGGGTTTTATGAACAGTGAACCTATTTGCTTTTTGGGGTTTCACTCCAAAAACGCGACATATTATAAGGAATAATCCATGAATTCAAACTGGTCACAAATTGGTCACAAATGATTGATTGTACCGGTTTTTATGTTTGGACTTAAAAGCCAAGTCCCCAAAAAGATTTTTTTTTTTTTTTCAAACTATAGAAGTTTTGAGAATGGAAACGTTTTGGTCTTAAGTATTAAACCACCACTTCAAAACGGTACCATCTGTGAATGCTAAAACAAAAGATGCTACTAGATGTACCAATGTATTACAAATGAGAAAACAAAAGAAGCTATTAGATGTACTACTGCCGTATTACAAATGAGCTGTAAAGAATTTTAACTGATCTCAATTGCAGTTGTAAACACTGTATTTCATGTAAAGAAACCTTCAAGCATAGCTTCAAATTGCATTGCACTAGTAATCGTGCCTGCATGATATCTAGAATCTGATTTTAACTGGACGTTCAAAATGTCTTTCTACACGGGCAAAGACATTTAGAATCTGATTTTTTTTCAAAAAGTCTTTTTCCACGCATGCCGCCCGTACCGCATTTGCTTCAGCCATTATTGTACTTTATTCGCAGGGAAAATCACCGAAGCCACCAGCCTCCTGAAAGATGCCTGCAAAATCCTCATTACAAGGTCCATAAATATGGTTTAGTCCTTCTCACTGTTTGTGTGAGACTTTTAGATCTAAGCATCTCCTATGGCACCGGCCCTAGCTTCGGCTAGGGTCGGTTGCTGTGTCCTCTTTTCTCCTTTTTTTACTTCTTTTCTCCTTGCATCTATTGGTGGTTCTTCCAATTTTTCAATTCGGACAGTCCAATTCCTCAACCCCGGGGATATACCTCTTCCATGCTCTTCCTTGCTTCGATCTTTAGCCATGTTTTCTATTAAATTCGTGTGTAAAGTTCCGGTGCTTTCACCAGCTCGGGTGTTTCCAACATCACCACGTTCTCCTTGTCGTTTGCCGACAATCTTTTACTTATGGTTGTGTGCTGGTGGCGTCTGATGAGGTGATGTTCAGCGGTGGACGGAGAATCGGATGGCTGTATGCTTCTCTGATCGGCGGTGGAGAAAGCAGTGGATGCTTCTCGGATGTTCTGTTGTTTTTGGGTTTCACTGTTGTTGGGCACAATTTCTATTTTTTCTTTGTTTCTAGGTCCTTTTTTTTTGTTTGTTTAGAGCAGTTCCAATGTGGGAACCCCCCTCGGCAATACACTGTGCTATCCACCTAGTGAACAATAACTGCCCTTAATGAACAATAATCACATTTTGCATCTTCACCGTTGCACTTCAATAGCCCTGGCAATAGGTAATAAAATATTAGTATTTTATTTATTTATAAAATAATACAAAATAATTTTATTTGTAATTTAGGATAAGATTTTTAATCGTTCTCGTAGCGCCATATGTCATTATCCGAAAAGTTATAAAATAATACAAAATAATTTTATTTGTAATTTCGGATAAGATTTTAAATCGTTTTCGCTGCGCCACGTGTCATAATCCGAAAAAGACAATTATTGGTGATGGATTTCTGATAAGATTTTTAATTGTTCTTGTAGCGCCACGTGTCATTATCCGAAAATACAATTATTGGTGATGGATTTCCGATAAGATTATTAACCAATCACGCCGCGCCACGTGTCATAATTTGATTGAAAGTAGTTGAGAAAATACGAAATTGTGGTGTAAGGTAGATGATAATGAGAAGGTATTTATAGAAAAGTAAAAACAAATTTTATTAACCAATCCCGCCGCGCCATGTGTCATAATGGTAACTTTTCTTAATTTAAAAACTATTTTTTCTTTTATTTATTTATTTATAAAGCAGAATAATATCAACTATTGATCTCAGATCCAACGGTTGATATTAAATAAGATTTTTTATTTTTTTATTAAATCGGATGGTCCAATTTAAAGAGCTGTTGAGATCAAACGGACCGTGGGAAGCCACGTGGCTTCCCAATGGTAACATCGGCAGACTGCGACGTGGGCCCAAAGTCTGAAAAGGTGTTGGCTGACGCGTCCCCACGCGCGGGTGAGTCGCAGGCGCTTGACAGAAAAAAAAAAAAATTGGGCCAACGCCAGGATGACGTTAGCCCTGGCATCACATCCACTCGGGCTCTTGGGCTAGCAATTCCTTACAGGTCCGGAGCTCGGGCCTCCACTCTCCCTCTGGTTGCCCACGCTGGACCTTCAAGGCCGGGCTATCTGGCCCTATTTCGTCCCCTGTCGCCCAAGCACCAGCCCACGCTGGAGTTGCTCTTATAGGTGAAAGTTGAGTCTTTGTTTATAAGTATGTGTTTGGTGTTTTAATAAAATCTTACCCTTGACAAACAAAACAAAAAGGTCCATACATATCACATATACTAAAATCCAGTTTCCCTTTCACCAGAAGTGAAAAGGCGAAACTGCCCTCGGATTCTTCTTTGCTTGCGGTTGTCTTTTGCTATTTTGTGCAGTGAAAAGTTCGTTTTGGCCCTCATGGCCACGCGTCTGTCATCGTTCAGTTTATGCGTCGAATAGGTTTTCGTTGGTTTACCATTTGCTTTACCTTTTGTGTGTCGGCAATCTCTGCTTATCTCCATCTTGGTATCGCCTTCATTTCGTCTGAAATCCTGTGTTTTTCGTCTTGCAAAATATTCATCGCAAAGATCGTCGTATTCTTTTTTTTTTGGGGAGTTTGTTTGGGTTCTCTGTTTTGGGACAAGTTTTGCATCTCTGTAAATCGTTTCTCCCCAATTGTCATCGGCTTTCCGACCAATTTTTGGTGCGGTCTGGGTGCGATCTTTGTTCAGATCATCGTATTTGAACGAAACCCTAACAGTTTGATTTGAACGAAACCCTTATATGAGAGTTGTTATTTCGAATTTGCATTGATTTGAACGAAACCCTAACAGTTTGATTTTTTGCTGAGTTGTGGCAGTTTGTCCAGGCTTTGTCGGCTAAGAGCGGATTTTGCGTTTGGTTTACTCCGCTGATAAATCTGAGATTTAACAGGAGTTCGAAGGCTACTGTTGGTTTGGGTATGTATTCCCTGCTTTCATTCCTTCCTAATTGTATATGGATTTCCTATTTAAATAAAGCAGGGAACTAATCGATTAATGCATGTTTTAATTCCATTATTCCTAATGTTTTATCAGCTTTGTTTATTGTTGAGTTTTAATTGGTTTTTCATTTATTTAAAATAAAACATCTCAAATAATTATCCATTTCTGCATTCACTCTGTCCTCTGTCTTGTTCTAGCGTCTATTTATGTTTTTCAGGTTTTCCAAGTGTACAAGGAGGTTGCTGGGTTGAGTTCGGTTACACAGATAACGCTGCAGTATACCATACAAAGGTTTTTTTTCCTTTCCCTTTGCCCCTTTTTTGGGATATTGATTACAAAATCTGTTTTGAGCATAGGTGTGAAATTTGCAGTAGGGGTTAGTAAGTTAATTAGTTAATTTCATTCTCAATGTGCACAAATGTTGTTCCTGCATTAATTCATTTTCTTTGTATCGAAATTGAATAAATTTAATTCTCCTTGATATCCACTTATTTTGCTAAGATATGCAATACAAATATCTGCTATCTCCTACCTGTAAACGTATGACTTAAAATCATTTCATTGACAAACTGTGCCCATGGTCTTGATTTATTTTTGAAAAGTTGTTTCTGATTTTAGTTGTTAAAGTCAGTAATCAATTCTGCTTAGATTTTTTGGTAGCGTAAGTGCGTCTACACTCATCCCTAATCTTGCATACACAGTGCATCTCTGTCACATTGGTGAACTATGGTATTGTTTGTTTTAATTAAGAGCCACCGAACTAGATATATCTGATCCATCTTTTTTCGCGTATCATATCACTTTTAAACCTGTTTGATTGAATTCTGCCATTTACACCAAAATACCTAAACAATGACATCAAATTTTGAAGTAAAAAATCTAATAACTTTACTAATTTTCAGTTTCATTCAATGACACTTCCTTTTCAATTACTTTAATTTTAACATATTTCACTTTCTTTAGATTTGTATTTATGTTGTTTCTCTCATGCTCTATCACAATATATCAGTTACTTTAAATTTAGTTCTAAACGTTTTCAACATAGATGATCTTACAAAACTCACTGCTGTACTTATCTAATTTTTAAGTTTTCAGTATTTTTAATGAATAGTTTGGTATTTAGGCAGCTTCGATCTTTGATTTCAAATATGTGATTTTGTCTAATTCTTTATGATCCTCAATTTCTATTGTCGTAATGGACATTTTTGAATCACATTGGTTAACACCAAACAAATGGTATGTGTCATATTTCTCTTTTTCTATTCCTTTACTTTTATACAGAGTTTTGTTTGAATGCCATCATTTTCACAAGCCCTTATACACCCTTGATTCAAACTTCATCATTCTTCCCTTGTACACCCTTGATTCAAACTTCATCATTCTTTAAATATCTGTATATATTATGCTCACACGTTTTGTAATCCTGCAGCAACGCACGGGCACTATTTCTAGTGTTTACTAAACCTAACTTCAAGGTTTACTAGGTCCAGACCCAAAAAAAAAAAAAAAAAAAAAAAAAAAAAGCCCCTAGTTACAAAGGCTTGTCGCTTATAACCTGCAACCCAGGAATTTTTAGAACTTCATTTTTGTGGTCAACAAATCTTATGAACCTACAACTTGGGTCTATGGGTCTATATGTCTAATGAATCTACAACATGAATTTAGCTAATTAGCAAACCAGCAACCTGGGTTTATTAACCCATGATGGGTTTGCTAGTTTACAACCAATCTATATAGCAAACTCGCAAACCCAACTGCCTATCTTTAGGTTGGCTGAAGATGATTCTTTCCCCTCTTAAATCTTTTCTTTTCTCTCTCCTCCTACTTGAACAGTTACGGTTAAGTCACGTTAACGTTTTATATCTATTTTTTATAGAGCCAATAAAACAAAAAGTAATATGCGAGAAGAGGAAGGGAAGGGGGTGAGAATAATCCTACTCCATGTCCACTAACATGAAACATTTCATGATTTGTGTGGAACCTTAAAACTCCCATAAGTAGGCGTTGGCCAAAATCAGTGGCTTCCAATTAACTAGGCTGAAAATGTTTATATTTTCAAAACAATTCCAAATTGAGAATACAAGCGGAAAGAGATCCTTTTCGGATTTCTTCCTCAAAAGTCCACGGATCAAGTGATCTGGGTTTTTAAAATTTGATTAAATGGTCAAAAAAAGAGAAGTTAGTAAAAAAATTTAATAGTTATAATAATTTTTTTGCCGTTTGATCAAATTTCAAAGGTCCGGATCATTTGATCTGTGGAATTTTGAGGAAGAAATCCGAAGATGATCTCTTTCCAATATAAGCTGCTTTTTGGGATAATGGGATTTGGCGAAATTTCAAACAACAAAATACCCTAAAAGATAGTCTACATGGCATTTGTGTTAATGCAATGGACCACAATTATCAAATATAATTTGGACTTTCCTAATAATTACTACCAACAAATGGACCGGGTTCTATAAGCCCCTGTTTTTTCTTTTAATCAACTCCTCGACTGCCTAAATTCCAACAAAGTGGATAGAGTCCGATTAGGAGGCTCTCTTTTAAATTATGTGTTTGATTTTGTTTTCTTTTGAGAGGGGAAGCAATGTAATAAAAATAGCTTTTGAGAGGGGAAGCGATGTAATGAAAATAGATAATCACTTTGTTTACACACTACCAGGAAGAGTTTCTAAATATTAGACAAATTGCGGAATTGGTAATTTTTAGAATTTTTTTTTACATCTAAACGGACCGGGTGGATAAACAATTTACTATTGATAATTTCTAAAGGATAGTGCTATTCATACATTCATTTTTACTTCTCATACAACTTTGTTAATTTTAAACGTTGAACTTCAATTCATTCGATTCGACTGTTAGAATTTGATAGAGGTGTGTGAAAAGTAAAATAGGTGTGTAAGAAGTAAAAATAGTTATGCATATAGTGCTACCCTTTCTAAAAATAATACTAAACCATGACATGAGAGCCTCTTTTCTCATAAAAGTGAGAACATTCTGAGAAAAACTTGTGTAAAGATTCAATTTTTCCTAGATGAGACCCAAGGCTTGGGCCAACCCCACCTTAATTCACTCGAATCCTTCTCCACTTCTTAAAATTCTATGAATGTACGTTGCAGAGATTCTGTGGTACAGCTATGATACATGTGTAACTCGATCTTCTTTCTCACAGTGCAACTTCACTACATGTGATAAAGGCGGTTAGATCTCAATCTCAATTTTAACCCAAGCTCCATATCCATAATGTGAATAGTATGACTAAGCCTCTTTTCCTATTGATAAGCATGATAGCTCTTCAATATCGTGATAAAGCGTCATTTGCATGTTAATTTGAAGCATAAACAGTTAGACACAATAGTGAATTACTAACAATTATATATTTTACCATCTGATCGTCGAGATAATGGTTGTATTAAATACATGTAAGTATTATAGCGAAATTCAAAAAGGGTTATGTCTTTTTTTAAGAAGTGACATTAAATCTTACAAGTGTATTTTGTAATTAGCTAAACAATAAAAAAAAAGGCACAAACATAGAATCATAGATCCCTCTCTATTGCTAATTTATAAGTTCTTAGTTTGATAGATGAGTGTAATATTTTAAGTTATGTATTTCTTTGATGAGTTCAAATCTTCTGCACAAAGCACTCTGTAATTTAAAAGAATAACTAGGTGTCAACAAATGGAATAGGTCACAGAAAGATCACAAAGAATTTTAGGTGCAGACGATTTAAACTCTTCTTTAATATTGCTATTTAATTGTGTCAATTTAATTATTGGGCACTGTCATTTAGTACTACGGTCTAATGATATTCTTCTTCGCTTGTAAGTGAGAGGTCTCAGGTTCGATTTTCGCCATATGCAAATTTGAAACACATTATTGCTAGTCTATTATGAGGCTTAATTAGCCTACTTCCCCACCCTTTACTGTAGATAACATCGTTTATTAAAAAAATAAAAAATTTACCCATATTAATAAGTTTACCCAATCCTTTTATATTAAAACATAAAAACTTGTACGTACACCCAAAATGTTCCAAAATATTAGAGTAAGGTCATTTAATACTACGGTCTAATAGTATTCATCTTCACTTGTAAGGCGAATTTGAACCACATTATTGCTAGCTTATTGTGAGGCTTATAGCCAAGTCTCCTTCCCTTTTAATGTAGTTAATATCATTTATTAAAATAAAAATGTTCCCAAATGACCTCTAAAAAGCCAATATGATTTATTTGGAAAATTTGTAAGTGCACCCATTTACACCCACTGTTTTAAAAATCCCAGAATGGCGCCACCTAGGCGCTAGACGGCTGGTCACTGCCCTGATTAATTCTTAAGCGTTTGAAAATAAGAAAGGCACTAGACCTGCTTAGGCACCCACCTAGATCAGCTAGGCGAGCTAGCCCTCCCAGACCGGCCTAAACATTCACCTAGGTCGCGACTCTCACTTAGGTAGAAAATAGATAACTTTCATTCTACATTTTATTTATTTAGATGAACGTTCCCGATGTTTTCATTATGTTCTAATACTTTATTATTATATATGTCATTCTATTTGCAGTTTATGTATACCCCAATGAAATTATGTATTTTCTAGGTATAACAAAACACACACACACATATATATATATATATATATATATATATATATATATACGATATATAATAAATTTACTTAAATCCGTCTGGACCCGCCTAGAAGTCTAGACGCTTAGACACTAGGCTCCAGCCTGTCGCCTGACTAGTGTCTAGTATTTTTTAGGCCCTTGCTCCACAACCATCGCCATCACTAGATTCACCATAGCCAAATTATTGACCTCCACCACCATCAACAGACGCAAAGCAAGAAATCGTCACTGCCATCTCGACCAAACCCAAAACTAACCTACTCAAATGTAAGACGACTAGTGAAGAACATAGAGAAGTTGTCCATTTCTTTACTGTGGAGCAAAAAATAATCGAGAAAAATGTGAAGGTGACATGTGGATTCTAGGGTAAAAAGGACAAAATTACCCTCGAGGAACACCGAAATTCCTACGCGAAAGCAATGGACAACCATCCCTCAATCAAGTCAAAAGTGCCCAAAAAAGGTATTTATTTATAACCTATTTCATCTATCCTTATCAAATCTTCTCCACAAGGTAACCCCTAAATCATTCCTTTTATCATGAACTTCACCCACAATACCATCCAAGTGGTCGGTCCATCTCCTCCCAATGTGGCCGGCCACACCCCTATATAAACACCATCATTCTCTCCAAAACTCAATTCCAATTCTCTTGCTAAATTCTCTAAATTTTCCAAACACTTTTTCCTCAAAATTCTAACTTTAGCATCAGAGGTTTTTTAGCCAAAGCCCCCTCATTCATCGTGGGCGCATGAGGCTCTTGGCCTTGACCTAAGGTGTTATTTGTTTTGTAGGTGCAATTTTGTCCAAGAACAAGGAGGAAGAAATTTGCATCCACAAATTGATGCTTCATTGAGAGTTGAGTCACACGCTCGTAGAATACTTTCGTATCTAAGGTTTTTTGTTTATTTGTTTATTTGTAGATTTTTCGTACGTTTTTATTCTTGGAATTTTTATATCTAAAAATTCTCTGATAAAACATAAAAGAAAAGTACAATGGCAAGAGATTCGAAAACCTTGACAAACGAAAATTCCAACGTTCAAGGATTAGGACCACAATGATCTACAAGGCTCAACATAGCAATGAGCGAAGCGGCACCCCCACGAGGCACCATCGTGGCAACCACCACGACAGCCACCTTTGGCAAAACCCACGACTTCGGCCATGGTGCCACTTCAACCTTCAAGGGCTCAAGCCATAGCCGAGCAAACCTGCGTCGTCTAAACCCAACGCATTGCCAAATCGAGCCTAAGCCTCGCACCCGCGTGCACCACACGCCGAATAGCCCATTCTCGTGGCCCAACCTGCTCCCGCAACCCAGCATGCTCCCGTGGCCTTCCAAGCAGCCTAAATCGGTCCAAGATTAGTTCAACCGTCCCAACTTCAAATTTCTAGGCCTATGATCGAATTGGGAGCATTTTCACGACATTTCTCCTCGGATTTGATATTTCCCAACTCAAATCTCCGCCCGGAGTCTACCACACTTCCACTATTTAAGGAGACACATTCCTTCCAAGCTCTTCCAACCCAAATAGATAACAACACTTGTCTCGACAAATCATAGAATTGATGAGCGCACTCGCACATCAGACGACCTTGGTGAATCAGCTCTTGCAGCACACTAAGATGCAACGTGCCCTAAACGAGGTGTTTTGAAGTAAGACAAGGGCAGACGAAGAACCTCTCCATCAACGTCTCAGCAAGCAGCCATTGGACCAGTCACAAACCAAGCGTTCTGGCGGTGTACATTCCTAACTGGGCCCCTAAGATAGCGTATGCTCTCGTCTTAGCGTGCGGATGAGCGTGCACTATCGGTTAAGCCCATGGATGAGCATACACTCACGGTTGGGGTCACACTCCGATAATCAATGTGAGTAACCTTCCAGGCGAAGTG